GCATCAGATCCCCTGGAACTAGAGTTATGGGCAGTTGTTAGCCACCATGTGGGTGCTGGGATTCAAACCTGGGTCTTCTACAAGAACATCCAGTGTTCTTAACTGCTGAGACATCTCTCCAGCCCCTGAAAGTTCTGAGCCATTTTAAAGATCAAATGCCTGGGGACTGGAGAGATGGCTCAGCAGTTAAGAGCACTGGCTGCTCTTGCAGAGGACAGGGATTCAATTCCCAGCACCGACATGGCAGCTACAAACCATCCTAAACTCCAGTTCCAGGGGAATCCAAAGCCCTCTTCTGTCCTCTGTGGCATTGCACAGCATGGGCCACTCACTCATGTGCAGGCAATACACTTGTACACATAAAATAAAAAAATAAAAAAAAATTAAAAAAAATAAAGATGGAGTGCCTGACAGAAAACCTTTCAACACAAAAGTCAGAAAGGTACATCAGCCAGATGACTTCTGCTGTTTGCTGGTCTGAATTTTCTAGAAAAGGTTAAATATTAATTTTCTATTTACTTTTTCCAAAGTAATGTTTTAGACAAATATATTCAATTTGAATTATCATAAAAACATCTGGATAATCTTTAATGTTACAGATTTTCTTACTTTTCTAATTTTATCAGCAAAAGGTACTAAGATAAACTTCTTCACAACAAAGAGGTGACACAACTGTGGACAGTATGATGGGAATTTCAAAATCAGTTTTCCAAGCCAAACTTGGCTTTCAATAGCAAAGTGCACCATCTTTCTCACCAGCAGACACTTTACCAGAAGAGATGACATGTCTTAGTCCACACCAGAGCTCTGTGTGAAATCCACCCAAGAGCAGAGTGCAACTGAAAGCCTGGGGTGCTGGAAATGGCTACCCTGACCATCCATCAACAGGGAAATGGAGCACTTACTTGACACAGGTATACTTTGTGTAAGCTCCACTCTTCTCCCAGAGCACAGATCTTAATGTCACTGTTTTCACCATTGAAAAACAATGTTTGATAGATGTATTTACATGTACTCTTTAATTTTTTCCTGTCAAGAGAAATGCAAAATTTGCATATTCAAAAAGCACAGTGTGAGAACCCCAGCATCACAAGGCTGTGGGTTTAGTCCCTAGTACCGTATAGACCAGGTATGATGGGCAGTGCACCTGTATCCCAACACTGGGTAAGTAGTGGAAGGAGAGTAAGGAGTTCAAGGTCATACTGTTAAATAGTGAATTCAATGCCAACCTGACATACGTGAAACCTTGCCAAAAAAAAAAAAAAAAAAAAAGGATCAGGAAGCAGTATTGGTTCCCCAGGCAAGAATTAACAAATGGGACCTCATTATTAAACTAAAAAGTTTCTCTACATCAAAGGAGGCAACCAGGGAAAGGATCAGAAAACCCACATAATGGGACAAAATCTTTACCAGCGACACACCCGACAGAGGTTTAATATCCAGAATATATAATGAACTCAAAAAACAGAATCAAGACAAGAAGTAACCCAATTAAAAGATGGGCTAAGGAG